GGGTTTAGTATGCTAATTGTTAGAAATATTCCCCAAATCTAGTCCCTCCCCAATCCCCAAACTACAATCGAATTGAGAACTCACTTTTTGGAGTCGGTTGAAGAGTATTTAACCCTTGTTTGCTAAATGGTGGAAATTTCCATCATAACATTGAATGCCCAAAAATTATATAAAAGAACAAATTCACTTTAAGTTGATCGTGTCTGGATACATTTTTAATGTCCATTGCGGAACAAAAAATTTTGCTGTAAAATTTATTTTTTTAACCATTTTTCCTTTCATTTGGTACATGATTTATTTCACCAATAAAAAAAAAATGCAAAGAAGGGTTAAAGAAATAAATAAATGTTGAGTTTAGAAAAAAAAATGTACTGAACTACTGTCTACGCGTATGTATTGATGATAAGCTAGCTCCATTTCGTTCCGTCATGTGATGTTTGTCTCGAATCGATTAATACTCGTAGGTTCGATAAACCTTGACTGCGTACCATACACGTTATCTGACATTACGTATGGATGTAATATGATCAATATATTTACGAAAACATTATGTATGTATGTGAAAATATAAATCGTTTTAAAAAAAACAGAGACACATACTTTCAATACAAGAAAAAAAAACAAATTAAATATTCCTTGTCTTAGAGAAGTCAGTACATTTTTCAAGGGGCACTGTATACGTTTTTATAATAAACTTTTGTTTATATTTTTTAATAAGTCCTTTAAAAAGAGACTAAGTTGACTCTAATGTAATGTAAAAAATCACATAGTGTAAATAAAAAAAAAGAGCGAGTTAAAATGTTACAGTGCAATATTGCTATCCATGATTGTACAGGCGTTTATCATTTGTATGATATATGTATATACATACATACATATCTGTCACGCCTGTCTCCCATTAGGGTAGGCAGAAACAATGGAACTACAGATGCTTCGATTCAAACAAATCTGTTTCGCTTATTTGTGATAAATATACTTGAGTTAATAAGTCAGGAACCTTGTCATCGCGCGATCTTAGTTATTTTAGAGGTGGGGGGGGGGGGGAAGGGAAGAAGAGAATGTAGTAATGTGATCTGGTGTCCTGGGTGTTCTACCTTCATCCATAAAAAGTTATCGGTTTATCTAAAAGAAGGATGTCGCACACTCCGCCGTCATATGTGGCCTTCACACATACCTATTACAGGACCAGTGGCGTTTTTCCAAGCATCTTCTTCCATACATAACCACACTTTAGAATCAACTCTTAGCAGTGGTATTTCCGAACCGATATGACATCATAACTTTTAAAAAAAGAGCATTATCATTTTTAAAAGGCCGGCAGCACACTTGCAATTCCACCGATGTTGCGGGTGCTTATGGGTGGCGTTATAGATTCAAGCATATCAGCCATTACCTATCCACTGTTGGACGTAGGCCTCTCTCAATAGACTACCATAAGGAATGGTCCCAAGTCATCTGCATCCACTGACACCCTGCAATTGCATGCATGCATTTGAAGTTGTCACTCCATCTAGTGAAGGGAGGTCATTTTATACATCACATATTTAGAATCTAATAATACACTGTATCACATCTCCATATTTAGAACTAACAGAATTTTTCATCGTGCCCCCCACCAAATTGTTTATAATTACTCCTCTCCATCCAAAGGTTGGCTGGAAGAGATCGCTTTTAGCGGTAAGGTCGCCCATTGTTTTCTCACTGTGATTATTTTTTGTAATTGTTTATATTTATAATAAGTTTATTATTGTAATCTTTTGGAGGAAACAATAAAGAGTATCTATCTATCTATATTTGTCCATACGGAGTCGCCACTCAAGAACCTTTCCTCCACATCGTTTGTCGGTACTTTGAGCTATGTGACCAGCCCATTACCACTTTAGCTTGCTTATCCTTTACAACAATAAAGTCTGATCACGATATGTGTCAGCCGCACTATGCTGCCAGTTATCGGTCGTCGCGTGACGCCAACGTGTCACTATTGTCATGATAACACGTGTTATCAATACGCTACTCGCTAAATTAACAGTCACGTATTCGCGTAAATACTACACACTATTTATTTTAATGACAAACTTTTTATGTATATGTGTATTTTTATGTATATATTTGATTGTGTATATATAGTATATGTATGGGTATATATGTATATGTATATATGTATGAGTATGTATGTGTATATATGTATATATTTGTGTACATATATACAGTGAACGCTCTATATAAGCAACGTCTCTATAACTTATTCTTTATATTTTATTTATTCTACTCAGCTTAGTTAGTAAAAGAAATAAGTAAAAATATTTTCCATACGGTAAGTATTTTTATACTCATTTTTTCCCCTATAAGCAACTTTTCTCAATAAGATTTTTTTTTTATTGAAAGTGCTTCAAATGAGTTGCTTATATAGAACGTATTTATACAAACGACTTTTGTACAAAGTCTCCTTCTGTTAAATGACGATTAATTTCGTGCATATTAAATTACGAGTAGTTTAATCATTAAAACACCGAAATAATAAACAGACAAACACTCTTAATATTTGTAATATTAGAGAATTAGTTGATAGTAGTGCGTAAATTGATTAAATGATAAAAATCATCGATGACGTCAACACACAGAGTGTCGTATAAACTAGATGGAAAGAGAAGAACTCATGCGCCACTTTAACCTGAATAAATTAAATATTGGTCTTATTCAATGTATATCACTGAACTCAAATTAGAAATTTTTGAAAATCTCTGTAAATTATTGATACCCACTAATTCCTCTTTTTCCATGACTAGGGGTAGTAGATAAAACTTTACATGAGAAATCAGTTAAAGGTACGATACGGCTGATATACCTGAAGAAGGTAAAAACTGTTCAAGTGAACCACACAGCGCCATCTAGTTTCATTCGCTGTCATTCTTTCCTTTTGGCTTCCATGCGTTTTCTTATGTGGCCGCGCTTTAATTTCACTCTGTATATTTTTTGCTTATTTTAAGTAATTAAAAAGGTTTATCATTATATTATTATTACATTTATTCCATCAAAAATCCTTAAAAAAAAAATAGACTTAGGGTTGCCATCCGTTGTGGTTTTCGGATTTTTTTTTAAAAGATGGTAAAAGAATGATAGTACTGGACTGTAGGTTTTTGCTGGCAGGGTGTCAGTAAGGAATGATAGGTGAGGATGAGTTCAGGTAAGTTGGTCTATCGTAATGAATTCACCAGACATTAATAACGTGGTTTCTATGAGAACCATGCTTGTCATCGTCACCAACAATCATTTCTCGTCGAAGTTTTGTTGTGTTAGGGATGGTAGATGAGGACGAGGAGGGGGGAGAGGGATTGTAATATTGTGAATTGGGGGGAAAGGGATTGTTAGTAAAGGAGTTTGATAGCCCCATTCCTAGATCGATCTCCACGTGGTGGAAACCATCATGAACAATTCTTATTGAATTCGTCACGATGGGCTAGCTGACCTGCTTCATCCTCACCTATCATCCTTCACTGGTGCCCCGCCGGTGTATACCGATAGCGCGGGTGGGGTTACCATTCCATTATCACCCAATAAAAAAAAATTGCGATCTACCAGAACACTATTTTGAAAAAGAGTTTTCCAGATCGGTTCACAACTCACGGAGTTATGAGGTGACAAACATAAAAAAAAGCATACAACCGAATTGAGAAACTCCTTCTTTTTGAAGTCGTTAGAAAACATACATCTGCCCTGTAAAATACTAATATATATATATATATATATATATATATATATATATATATATATATATATATATATATATTCTATGCGGAAATAAACATTTTTCTGTTCTGTGACCCGAAGCATTGCTGGTTTCGAAAGTCCGAAGTGCCAAATAAATAATGGATAATATCTGAAGGGCACTTATCACTATCATTATTATTGGGGACATCCGTCACTTATCGATCGATCACACTGCCATCAACTCAATAATCAAGACGTATTAACACTTACACGCGAGGTCGTGATTGTCACTTGACGTATGATTGTTCGATCGTTAATAGTGAGTTGATCAAACACGTTTAGATGGAGCGTTGGTATTGAAAACGCTTCAAGAAACGGTCCCACAACTAAATCATTTTAACATTCGTAGAGTTTTTAAACTCTACGAGTTTTTTTTTTAATGGGTGATAATGGAATGGTAACCCCGCCCGTGTTATCGGTATACACCGACGGGGCACCAGTGAAAAATGATAGGTGAGAATAAAGGCAGCTCAGTTGACCCACCATGATGAATTCGACAAAAATTAACCATGATGGTTTCCAGGGTAACTAAAGGAGGGCGAGTGATGGGCAGCAGCGTCCCTTTTAAAACATCTCCAAAGTCTAGCTGCGGTTGCCAATCTGCCTGACAAGCGTGGCAACTACTGGCAAAACCCCGCTAGGGTTTATGTTAATGCCATATGAAATAATTGGCATAAAGAATAAAGCAATGGACAGTTAAAGGTTGATATGATAGAAGAGAAATTACATGATAAAGTTAAATTGAAAAATATAAATGACACAAAATTATTAAGAATATCTTTGAAAGAGCATGTTAAACAGTGCATAAAGATTTGTTTTGATGATTATTTTTACTAATTAACTCTGATTTATTTACAATTAAAGATGTAAATTTTGTTTTCATTTTAAAATCATGTAAAATGGCCACCATTTTAATAAATATATGTGTATATATTTTAAAGTGATAAGTACGCATGTATTATTATACATATATTACATCAGAAATTTTTTTTTTCATTTTTAGAAATTGATCTGAATTAGGGAAATTTTTAATCCAATTACTTGCAACACTGAACAAAAATTGCGCATTATTGGTTTAAAAAAATATGTGCCAAATATCAATTTATCTGAATAAATGTTGAACGGTTTTTAACACTTGATGCTCTATCTATATAATGTATGATCTATAAATTCTTTTTAAACTTTCATATTGACATGCAATAATTAAATAGTTAATATAACGATTAACTCACCATCCATTGGGGTTCAGCTTCTCCGTCTCCCACTCATCAGACTTTTCACTGTTTGTGTTCTTCATTTTATTTTTAGCACTGTTAAGTTCTCAAATTCACAATGGACATCGTCACACTACACCATTAATAGTTTGTTCTTTATTTAAAGTTTATATAGCTGATTAGTAAAACGTGATAGTATCGAAGAAAAAAAAAAAAGAAAAAGTTTCTTTAGGCGGGAAAACAATTCTAAAATTAAATACTACGATTAGACCTCGACCAGAGCGTACACCTTTATATTTTTTTTTAAGTTAATTGAATCTCACAAAGAACAAAATTTGTTGCTTTTAAGATTCTTTAAAGAATGAGAAGTGAATATCTACTGAATAACAGTTTATTTTTTAATGACAATTAATACCACACATTTATAAATGTTTTATCAGTCAAGAATCCTTTTAATAAAGAATTCTTGACTGATCCTTTATATTTAAAGGATTATAAAGATATTTTAAAGACATATATAAAGAAGGTTTGTTTTCGAAATCCCTAATTAAATGTCATATAAAATATTGAGATAAAGACATAAACGTCGTACAAACAAAGTTACAGAAAGTTAAATACATATATACATAGTATTAAGATAAATGTTTGTAAAGTAGCTGTTTTAATGCACGACAAACAATATAAATAAGCAATTTTTTTTAACGGATTTCAAAAAATGAATCACGATTGAAATGATGTTTTTAATGTCTTATTTTAGTGCAAATTCAAAATTTTTAACTTCGCTCACACATAAGTGGTAACTGTCCCCTACATAAGTGGTAAACGTTCTCATCGGTAGACATGTTTTCGTTGGAATGAAATAATTTCATTTTGAAGGTTCTAAAGGAATAATTCTGTATGTACAGCAAGTATTATTCTTAATCTATGTCATATCTATGGAATGAGTTTCAGTTCTTAGTATCATATTTTAAAATGCGTTACCATAAACAACGTATGGCCATAGACTATAATATATTGTAGTGGAGGGAAAAGGGTTTTTTAGTAATTATAAATAAGCCCCATTCCTAGCAATATACCCTATCAGGTCGATCTCCTCACGGTTCCCCCCCGGAAATCATCGTGTCCCTTCCAAGTGAATTCTTCACGATGGGCTAACTGACTTGCCTTTTCCTCCTCACTTATCATACTTCACTGGTGCGCTCGCAAGCGTATACCGTTAGTGTAGACGGGGTTGCCATTTCATTTTCATCCATTGGAAAAAAAAATATACTGTATTAGGGAATCAACAGGCTATTAACTGCGTTATGTAGAAAAATTATAAGAGGCGAATGTCCAACGGTGGTACCGAAGACAACAATTTAAAGTAGGTACCTACCTACATTAAATTAGATGGCTTAAAACTTAAAACTTAAAAAGGCGACCTCTCAGCGATAAGGTCGCCCATTGTTTTCTCATTGTGATTATTTCTTGTAATTGTTTGTATCTATAATAAGTTTATTATTGTAATCTTTTGGAGGAAACAATAAAGAGTATCTATCTATCTACCTATATATATGTTTTTTATTTATTTACTTTTTGTTCAATGTATTAAGTTTCCTATCTGAGAAATGGGTATTGGCGACCCGCGCGAATGCTAAAGTTAAAAGAGTTAAGGGGCCGCCTGAAAATCAGCGCTGTATAGGTACATCTCGTTGGAAGTGTGCATACATAATACAGCAACAGCTGAGGCGGCTCTAGCGACCAGCAAAATGAACTGTTTTTTTTTATTGTTGTTTTTTTAACTATTTATTTTATTAATGTTGGTAATAAAGACTCTATCTATCTCTATCTATGACGAAATTTTTGCACCTGATACCTATTTAAACAATAGCAAGTAGCCATAGATACGAAACGGGAACTATTCTTTATCTATGATATGTAAAGACAAATTTCTTGTCACATTTATCAAATTTTATATACACTTGAAAGATTTAACGATTACATTTATATAAATAGTACTATATCTAATATATTGACTGATAAGTTACATCTTTTATGTTTTAAGTCTTCCTAATCTATTAGTTATCTCCGGAGCAACGAACTATAATAGTATTAAAGTTATGTACAAATAACTTGATACGTAAATATTGACTTCAATAATGCCAAAATTTAGTTAATATCTAAGTCCAGTTTCAAAATTAATTTACAATAATTCTTAATTGAGAGGCAAAAGTTAGACATTCCAGCAAATTACCTATATGTTCCATTTGTCTGCTAGATAAACTGTCATATCTGTCTGTTTACTGTATATATAATCTGGTAGTATTGTTTTATTGTTACCCTATTCCCTTTGGCCGCAACAGAATATCAGTGCTTTGCTCTTTTGAGGGCGAAGCAATAAACTGAGTTGTGACCATTTTGTATTGCTATGGGACACGTACAAACGAAATACTGTATTTAGCTTTTTTTTTATACAACTTAAACTTAAAATGGCAAACAAGCTGACGGCCCACCTGTTGGAAAGTGATAACCGTCGTCTATAGACATGAGCAGTACCATGGACATAACAGAGTATACTGTTACGCCCATGATACCCCACATGCGTTGCCATTCCTGAGGACTCAGATGTTATTCCTCTGTACCTCGTAAATTCACGCCATATTCCACCCTTCAAACCGAAACACAGCCATGCAAACACAACTGCTTCACGGTAGAAACACGAATGGGACAGAGGTACCCAAGCAATCGACTTTCGTACAAAGTCTCCCTCTGGCTTTATGTATTTTTTTAATCATTTATGTTAACTCGCTTTTTGGTATATCTATGTTCTAATTTGTGTGCTGTAAGTAAGTAATGCAAATATATTATCTATCTATCTATATTATGAAATTTAGAATATTACATTAAAAATTTAAACTCATTTCATAGATTAAGAATAATAATAACCTCTGTTGAGTCTTACTATCTCGTAGTATATATTTACTACTATATACTAGAGGGAGACTGTACGCAAGATTGCACTTTGAGGCTAGATTTATGGGAGACCTATTCTGGGAAGCAAGCCAATATTCGCGATAATGGTGTCAAAAATCAGTATTTATAAAAGAGATATGTATTATATAAGATATTATTTATTATTTTAGAAAGCTACATTATCAGTGAGTAACATTGGCTTTATTTTGTTTAATAAAAAAAAAACCATGTCGCTGGTTAAAAATAAAAATAATTCTTTGCACCAAGTACTTCCTATGTCTATGGTTGCATTAGCGCGAAATTGCACGACTGCACGAAATCACCTGCATGATTTTTTACTGGCAAAGACACGAGAAACAGGTGGTAAAATAAGGATCAACAATTAGAGCAGACCCTTAGAATAGCTACTTTTACAAAGTATTTAATATACTTAGATAAAGCATTCATAACAAGATAAAAGAGCAAAGAATGAGTAAGTACAAATTTACTCAGGTTTTAAAATCTACACAAATAAAACTGGCAGAGTTGCTTTCTGAAATGACTGAAGCATAGAAAAATTACTGAAGTACACACGGAAAATAAGTAATTTGAAGATTGTTTCACAATAAAATGTCTACGTTTTCTTGTATATTTGTAAACACGAATTTATTTTTTAATTATTAATTACTACTACTAAGTACATTTAATGTTTAAAAGTGTATGTAAATTTTTTTAAAGGGTCACACCAACACTAATATTTTTTAATACTTTTGCACTACGTGAATACGTAAATATTTTTTTTTATTTTAAAAAAGCGCGCGAACACTGTTTATACAGAGGTCACAAAATGATAGTGATGTACTTCGAGCGACGCGTTTTATCGACTGCCAATCGTCAACTATGCGAATTGTTGACATTGTGATTTTCGTATGTTTCCTTATCACTTAATATAACTAAATGCTATTTAATGATGAGGCAATATACAACATAGATAATATTATCGGACTGCGGTTATATGAAATTTGTCATCAATTGCATAATATTTAAAGGTTTTGTTAATATATTGTAAATAGATAATAACTTATATCTACACAGAAATTGACAAATACGATTAAATGTCTAAGTCTGAACATATTTACCTACCTATTTCAGAGAAAATGATCTTGACTGACAGAGAGACAAGTAAAAGAAAGATTCTATAATACATTTCGATTTTACGATTTTTTTATTTATTTTTTTGTGACACGAAACGGAATTCTAAAAAGGAATAAATATACAACTAATTACAATGTATATTACCTACCTTGAAGGTAGGATATAAATTGAATAAAATTGCTATTAAAAGTAAGGAAAAAAAGTACGAGGATCACAATATTACTGATATTTTTCCTTAGTTCCTTCACAAAACCGGTTAAAGAATAAGATAGCATGAGTAGTTACTTAAACATTTACCTTTGTCATTTTTTATAAACAATAGTTACCTACCTCTGAAACAATTTGTATTATGTATACACATTAGTATTTCATAGAGATAATGAGTTTGTTTCTTCGTGTAACTCGCTATATACCTAATATTTGAGTTTTTTTTTTTTTATGTAAAGCACTTCACGAATTGTATTTGTCGGAGTTAATTATAACTGTTGAAGTAATTGTGATTTGTCAAGGATTTCTTCAGCGAAGGTCGATCGAACCTTGCATTGTTCAGTTTTCTCATCTCTTTCGAGAATGGAATTTCTCACTTTGTTTTTATTTGAACCTAAGTTTCATATTCTTCGAGTAAAGAAAAACATTCTTTTCCTTTAGGACTTTTAAAAAATTTTAGCAGGCAATTTTTTGGTTCCATATTATTTTTTGAGATCAAAGCCGTCACTTTCTATTTATGTATATTAAATCTTAAATTATGTTGTTCTTTAATACTGAATTGTAGTTTCTTACTCCTCTATATTAAATAAGACGGTAAAATAAAAACCCATATTTAATTGAAAACAAGGAAAATTGTATTAAACCTTGTGAAGTTCTCAGGAATGGCATCGCATGGAGGGTATCATGGGCGAAACAGTATAGTCTCGTTACGTCCATGGTACTGCTCATGTCTATAAGCGATGGTTACCACTTTCCATCAGGTGGGTTGTCAGCTTGTTTGACAATCCAAGTTGCATAAAAAAACAGAGTTATAAAAAAATTATAAACTATAGAAAATTACATACAAAATCTAAGGTTGTCTGTAAGAGACTGCCCTAACAATAAAACCGTCTTTTGTATCTTTATGTATATATTTTGATTTGTACTTTATTTAAATTTTCTAATTGCCGCTGTGTATTTTTATGTTTCTGGCGCAATAAATAAATAAATATAATTTTATTTATAAAATAAAACGGTCCAGAAATACGATATATCATTGTAATAACCCATTAACATTTTATTGCTGGGTCAGCGAATTCAGCAAACTGGAGGATATTAGCTTATTATTATCATGCTGGTTTATAATGCCTCAGTATAGGATAATATTACGAGTTCTCCTTTTATTACATTATTACAGCATGCTCGATATAATAACTAGGTAATTGTTACCACTAAATGAGAACATTCTGAGGATAAAAAGAAGTAGTGGGATAAATTGTGATATTTATTCTTTATTGCACAATAAAATTTGTATATGTTAAGTGGCGAGCTTCATGCCGTATGGCATTTTGTATCTATCAGCTAGTTATTGGGTAAAAATAAAAAGCGTTTGAGGGCATTGGTGGTGGCACATATATTATACAAAAATTCTTCTTTATTGTATTCTTTTTTTTCCATTATGATATACACAAAAGCTAGTACCCTGTATTGCAGTAGTTTTGAGGTTAAGTTACTGAAATTTATACCATTATTATATTGAAGTGATGACTTTTCGTCGTCATGTTGGTGTACGGGGTTTTTGTCTGCGAGTCTGTGACTAATCATGCGATATCAGTCTGTTTTTTTATGGTAATGTAATTACATGCACAAAAAGCAGCGAATAAGTAGAACTAAATAAATATACATATATTTTAACTCTGTAAAAAACAATTACATTAATCTTGACAAAAAACATTGATGAATGACGAATTGTTTCGCAGACACTTTTTTTTTTTAAATTTAAATAATTGAATTTAGAATGCAGAATTATGTTTGTTGAAGAGGTTTTCCGTTATCGTAAAAGTTAGTAGAAAATTAAAATTGACGCAAAATTTTAGATGTCAGCTAGATTCGAATACAAGTTTAGGATCTATAGGTTGGGATATTATTTTACTAGGTCATATTTCTCTAAACTTCTGTACCGTTTTGTAAAATATTTATGTATCTTATAGTTTTAAAATAAAATATTTAGTTATTACAGATAAACGATCAAGCATGATGAAGTTATACGATTAGGTTTTGGCTACGGATCTTGAAATTACATTTTTAATTGTTATGTTATTGTTATGAATTTTTTATCGAATAACTCAATTGTACTTGAATTAATATAAGTTATTAATTATTATAATTGTTTTATTAAAAAATCTCAATTTTAAGGGACAGTACGTAATAATATTTGACACACTGTATTAGCAAAACATAGCGTGATATATAGTCTATAACATCCAACTCGTAACTGCACCTATGTTTATGCAAATAAATGATTCATTGATTGATTTAAATTATATTAAAAGCTTTAAATAGGTCCTTAATACATATGGATAAAAGAACTTAAGTCGTATAAGGAAAATTGCTATTTCAAGTAAGTATCGCTAAGTTATTTTTTTTATTTATACAGCTGGTTTAACAAAATTAATTCTACACCCTTTGTGAACTATGAACATAATCGATTTAAATAAACACAGATGGGCACAGACTTTAAATAGATTTACGTTTAAAATTAGCAGGCTTTAGTAAGTAACATATGTATATAGCAACATGAGAGGGATTTTCCCTTGTTCTTATGGAATTTTATATTTGATTTCCTTAAATAGAACTTCTGTTTTAATTTATAATCACTATATAATATGTACAGATACCTAATATGTAGAGTGATGGATTTTGAAGGTATATGCCAATGTATGCATAATTGTGATGTCATGTAATGTATACTTTAACACATAGCAAGATTAAATACCATATAATAGGCTAATATACTTTTTAAATTGAATGCTAAAGCACTCAATGTAGTGATAGTGGCAAGTAGAGAAAGCTAGTAATTTAGGTAAGTAAAATAGTCCTTGAAACGAATGAATAAAATACGATAGTCAGTAATATTATTGAAAGAACTAATATCACTAAATAACGGGGATAAAGATATCAAATAAAAAGTGCAGATAACAATTAAAAGCATAAGGCAGTAGCCTTATGCTTTTAATAATTGAAAGGTGATAATTTGAGTTAAATAATATAAACGAATTTAAATGGGACAAAATTTTATTACTATATGTGGTCGGGAATATACTTTATTGATTGTAAAAAATAAAATTATCGTAACAATTATGTACATTAAAAAATATACGCGCTTAATTGGCCCGAATTTTTTATGTACTTAAGTTACGAACGAAACTATGAAAGGTGAAACTTTAAAGTCACTTTACCTCATATGTGTGCAAAATTTTTCATTCTATATCATAGGTAGGTATTATTATTAATTAAAATTATGACATAATATTAGTTATAATTAATTAATTTATTATATTTTACTGTATAAGTAGTTTCTTTAATAAAAATTTAGACGTACTAACGTACCTATACTACGATTAAAAAATATTGGCACGAAATTATTTGGCATTGGCACCTTGGTACTTAATATAATTATCTACAACTATCTATTATTAAAATAAGAATAATTTATATCTAAATAAGTTTTCTTAAACAGAAAAGAAAAACTATTATTTGTTTAGCAAATTATTTACCAAGTATCGATAGTAAAATTTCTATTTTGAACATCACTAGTTGGAAATGGTTTTCGAAAACGAAGTCAAAATAAATACTCAAAATTACAACAATTCAGTTGTGTGGACAAGTGATCGCTCGACCTATTGAATTTTAATTGAGGATACCGAATTATTAAACATTGGAATAAATAGGCAATTATATAGCAACATAAATTGCATCTAATAAATATCACTTACGCACTCTTATACACTTTCACTTGTATTACTTATGAGTTAAGAAAGAACACTTTTACACTAGGAAGCTCTACAAAGTCCTCGACATTGTGTCTTGAGATGATACGAAAATAACCTAACGCGACATTCGCGAATTCGCATTCGCGACATGACTTTGACAGAAGTAAATGAAACAGCTGATCAGTGATACCATAATTATAAGGAAAATTTCAGCAGTAGTAGATTTCAGTGGATTTATACCACAAAATGTAAACTAATCTTACTTTGTGCCGAATAAAATAAGTACAATGAAAATAAGTGTTGCCAGTAATAATATAATAGTTTGATATTGATTATTAATCAATAGTTCAATTGGAATGCGAATCGTGGGTATGGCAGAAGAAGCATGAAAGTAAGATAAATGCTGTACAGATGAGAGCTTTGAGAAGTATGTGTGGTATTACTTTAAAAGATAGAGTAAGAAACAGTGTGATTAGAGAGAAGTGTGGACTGAAAGTCGATGTAGTGACCAAAATCGAAAAAGGAATGTTGCGTTGGTGCGGTCATTTGGAGAGGATGGGAAAGAAAGTACGAAAGAGATTTATCGAGCAAGAATGAATGGAGATGTCGGTAGGGGCCGCCCTAGACGGACGTATGTCGACCAAATAGGCGACGTGCTGAATAAGGGCCAAATTAAAAGTACCCGTAATAATATGAATGTGGAAGAAGCGAAAGAGGTTTGTTTGAATCGATTGATTATTAATCAATAGTTCAATTGGAGATCTAACCAGTACATTTTAGGGACAAACAACAAAAGCGACTTTTATCGCGAACATACATACATGCACACACATTGATAGATGACGTAATGTTTTGTAGATATAGTATACATTACTGTACATTGTTTGTATTGTTCTGAGTATTTTCTATGTGTAATGTGTATGTATTTATTATATAAAAATACTTAAGTATGTTTATTAGTTGTTTAGTACCCATAACAATATATAATGATAGAAGCATCGTTTCATATAGAACTAGATGGTGCTGTTTAATACGTTCAAAGAATTTTTATTGACTGTAAATATTTTCATTTAGGACGTAGTATAAGAAAAAATCTACAATAAGGAGTTTTTAGTATATAATAAAAAATGAAAACTTTAGTCGTCACAAAATTAAAATGAGATGGATATAAGAGTAAATCCTTATGATAAAAAAAAAAGAAAATTGTAAATATTGTTTGCAATTGGCAAAGTAATCATTAAATATAATTTATAGTCATATGTTGTGTCAAAAAACATGCACACTAACATACAGAAATACATTTATTTGTCTTTACAACATTACCCATATTTCTTAGGCAGTCGGATAAAATTAATAATGGTAGGAAAAAGTATATTAATCTGGCAAGCGTAAACAGATGATTACTGTCAGTTTCAACTTCAAGTCACTGTCACTGTCATTACTACACTGTCATTATAACAGCAAGAAATGGAAATTTTTCATCTTTAGGTCTTCTCTTCCTATTCCTTTGGAATATTTTAATTAATTCATTCGTCTCCGGGTGTAAATTTTTAAAATGTTAATAGGAATTGAAGCTGTAAATCGTGGTTAAAGTCCACAGTCTTAACAAATTCATAAATGACAAGTAATTTATTCCATTCCTAAATAATTGTTCCCGTATTTTCTAATTTATTTTTTAGTTACCTAATCATTCCATAAATACATTCGATAGAATGTTTTCGTGAACAAATTATTGTGAAAGAAAATCTGTTTAGAAAAAAAAACGTATGTGTTGTAAAATATTGTAGAATTATTTTAGTGCAATAATAACGAGAAAAAGGAATTAAGAATGTCTTCACAAGGCGGCGAAGACATATTTCGGGACTCCTGGGTGCGATATCTTGGTAAGCTATAATTTTGGACGATGGATACCCATAGTGGTGGTTTTTTTTTTACTAATAAAAAGCTTTTTTATTGTGACTTATGTAATAATTAACCTTGTTTCTTATACCGTACATGTTGTTCGCGCGATAAATTTATATAATTTATTTTGCATGTAAATGAGATATTTAACGCAATAAAAAGTATCTCAAATGTTGAGATAGGTTTTATGTTATCATTACATCAAATTTTATTAAAATTTATCTGAAAGTTTTTGTGTTATGTGTGCATGTAAATATCCGGTATGATATTAATTATATTACTATAAGTTTCACATATAAGAGCCTTGTGGTCTATTGGTAAGTTGCCCTGATTTATAGGTACCAAAATTCAAAAGTTTAAAATGTTGCCAACACCAAAAATTGAGAATTTAAATATGGATATTATAAACTTTTTGGTGATGAAAAATGATGTATGTAGGGGGGGGGTGTCATGGGCGTAACAATATACTCGGTTATGTCCGTGCTACTGTTCATGTCTATAGGCAACTGTTACCATTTTCCATCAGATGAGTCGTTTACTTGTTTGCCATTCTAAGTTGCATAAAAAAAAAGATAATAAAATAAGTGGTAATTGGTTGACTTACCCTTCATCGCTCTTTATGTAATAATCACTGAAGAGATCCATGTGTGCAGGGTACTCCAATGAGGTTGGTGAGTCGTTCCGGCCGGTGCTGCCCGTTAAGGTGGTGCGTGCCAGCTACGGGGTAGCCTTTGCTTACGTGCTGGCAGACACGGCTGACAAGAGCTGGAAAATGGTGCAAGTAAGTTAACAGATCTTATATCTATTCTCTGTGTGTGATCTGTTATCCATTGTCTGTGTGGTTCTGGCATAGGCCACTATTCTTGTGAATGTCGTAAGAGAGTGACTAAAGGAACACAGTAATAGAGGGATGGGCAGCAGTGTCCCTCCTAAAACATCTCTAAAAGCCTAACTGTGGTTGCCAACTCGCCTACCAAGTGTGGCAACTACTGCTAAAACTCCACTTATGGGGAAAGCTTATGTTCAGCAGTGGACAGTTAACGGCTGAAATGATGATGATGATGGTAATTGTAAGTAGGTAAAGGAAGTTTGTTAAATTTTGAACATGTGCCTGATTTTTATAGGTATTTGTAGCAGATCTAAATCAAAATTTTAAAATAGATTTTTTTTTATGTATATAAATACATTTACTGTTGGTGTGATTTAATAAATAAATAAATAACTTTTCCATAGTTAATCTAACAATAACTCAATTATATTTGGATATTAAACATTTTTTCACTTCCCGTAATTGGTAAAGATATTTTGGGAATTTTAGATGCGACATCTTGGTAAGTAGTATGTAATTTTATAGTAAAAATGTAAAACGTGAATAGGACTCTATTTTCCGCGCCTAGCCTCTCATTTGGGCCATTGTGCGTATGAGTCGTGGCTAGTACAGCCAACGTAGCTCCGCTCAGAAGCGCAGAAGCTTCCTGGAATCTTCACAGGCCTCTTGGAGCAACCTCACCGTTCCAAGGATTTCTAAACGTTGATGGGCCACAGCCTCACATTCCAGGATTACGTGAGCAGCCGTTTTTTCGGCGTCGAAACGACCTCGACATACAGGGCTGTTAATTAGTTAATAAGTTAATTTTATAATAATATAAGAGATTGTTTATTGTAAAGTACAGTACTAATGACCATCCAAAAGCTTTGCTCAAGTTTTTAAATAATTTAAAAATATGTTCCAAAAAAAAAAACAAAATCAATTGTAGCAAAATCAGTTATTTTTATTTGAAAAATAAACTGTTGAATCGTTTTTGTGAACATTTCTTTGAGACCAATCTGTAAGTATATCTTGTTAGATAAAAAAAAAAAATTCTAAATCATTTTAGAATTGATGGCGTGAATTTATTGGGTACAGAGGAATAACATCTGAGTCCTCAGGAATGGCAACGCATGGGAGGTATCATGGGCGAAACTGTATACTCTGTTATGTCCATGGTACTGCTCATGTCTATAGGCGACGGTTACCACTTTCCATCAGGTGGGCCGTCAGTCTGTTTGCCATTCTAAATTGTATAAAAAAAAATTAAACATAAAGTGAAAAATAACTCGTTTTTAAAGTCGATTGAAAACATTTAAATGACATTGATTTCAGATAAATAAGCCCGGGAATTAATTTTTAATATTCCTATTTTAAATTTCAGAAAGATGGCCGTCCAAAGAACGTGCTTATAGAGACTGGAGATGCACTCATTTGGCAGACTTTAGCATCCATCGTCATACCGGGATTCACCATAAATAGGTAACGCCTATTGCATTTTTTTACACAACTTAGAATGTCAAACAAGCTGACGGCCCACCTGATGAAAAGTGGTAATCATCACCTATAGATATGAGTAGTACCATGGACATAACAGAGTATACTGTTTCGCCCATGATACCCCCCATGCGTTGCCATTCCTGAGGACTCAGGTGTTATTCCTCTGTACCTTGTAAATTCACTACCATAACTCACCTTTCAAACCGAAACACAGCCATGCAAACACAACTGCTTCACGATAGAAACACGAATGGGACAGAGGTGTCTAAGCAAATTACTTTTGTGAGGTAAGAAACATAATAAAAATACAATTAAACTGAGAACTTTTGGAAGATGGCTAAAAATAATTTTATTTTTCAGATTGTGTGCCTACTCCCAAAAAGCTCTATGTCGTTACAACAAAATCCCTGTTGGAGCCAGGAACATCATAACAGTTTGCATCGGACTGGCGTCCATACCGATCATAGTGCGCCCCATAGACAAGGGAGTCTCCCTGCTCATGGACGCCACCTACCGGAAATGGGTTAAATAGTATTCTAAGTTTTAAAAGTCAAATTCAATATTAAGTGTTCAATATATTCGTTATATTTTATTATACATATATATGGAGCTGTTAGTATTTGTTGAAAGTTGTCAATGCTAGATTTAATATGAACATCTAGAACTATCTAGAAATTAGCCAAAACTATGAAAGTCAACATGAATAACTGTGATTAAAAATATTTTTAGGCCTTACCTTTATTTGCAGATTTTGTCTATCAAGTCTCAGTATTATAAACGCTTAAATTGATTTTATTAGTATTTTAATAAAAAAAATACAGTATTTTTTTTTTAGATATTATGTCTAATTTTACTTAATCTATGATTATCTAGTGCACAATATAATATACATTTTGAAATTACAATCAAATTAAAAAAATATATATATATATATATATATATATATATATATATATATATATATATATATATATATATATATATATATATATATATATTATATATTGGTAAATCATAAAATTTTGTTGAATAACGTTACGTTTAAGATATTTTATTAAATACTCAGGGTGCAGATCCATAGAGAATAAAAAAAAAATGTCGTACATTTTAAAAATCGAACATAATAGAATCCTTTTAGTTTGTTTGAATCTAGTTCTATGTACATTCCTTTATAGTTATTCCATTAAAATATATTATTCTGTAGCGCCATCTATAGCATAATCTAGTATATAGTAAGGTAGTTATGGTAGTGCCATCTATGGTATTTATGATTTGCACTATATTATTTATTAGTAAATAAATTCTATATATAAAACTTTTAAAATTATCTATGGGTATTTTTTTGTAAATGTAGATAGAATCTCATATCTGCGCCCAACTGGTAAAGTGCCATCGTGTTTAAATATTTAGATTATTGCATTCCTGCTTTTTTGTGTTTGTGGTGCATTAGAGAGATTGTACTATCAAATATATACCATTGTACTGTAGGTTCCCAATGGAGGTAATACTGTCCCCCAGTGGGCGCTGGTGCCTTCTGTATCTCAGATAAATCATTATATTTTATATTATTGACATATATAACGGTTGACTGGTAGAGAATGCCATCAGGCATTATAATTTTAATATTTCTTTATTATAGATTACAAAGATCCATTTTTGTTAGTAACAATTGACTTAAACTATGTTAGTAGAAAAAAAAATACAAAAATCATTTTATGGCCCCTATAATAATTTTGACCCACAATGAGAGGATCGGGCTATCGTATTTGTTACACAATGCCCACAGAATGCCGTTACTGCTGCCACGCAGTCGGTATAAAAGAGATGCGATCCGTTTGCGTCTGTTGGCATAGAAGTCATCTGTCGATGTCGCAAGTTAAGTTCGCCTTGTAGACATATTTTAATGTAAGCAAAAATATAAATAAATAAATATAAAACTGTTTTCCAAGTTGCAAAAATAGCAAACATTCGCATAGTTCTTGAATAGCATACTTAACTCTAACTGACTAGCTTGAATAACTTAAAACAAATTACATTTCAAAATTTAATAATAATAAAAAATGATTTTATCCGCCCTATCAGCTTCGAGCTTATATTGTGTAGGTCAATGCCCTATATGTCTATATCGCTCTAACGTATTACGTTTTCTCTTTTTTACATTACCAATCTATATACTTTATAATCTAAGATTTAAACCAATGCACTCATAATGAGTGTCTCGATGATAATCATTGTACTGATTGATCTTACTTTGGCTTTATAATTTGGGAAACCGATCTACATACAGTTATGTGTATATTTGATAGTACAATATAGTGATAGGCGTGTTAGAAGTTAGTGTTCGACATAGAAATGGTACAGTTGGTCCCATTTATGGCTTACATAGTTGAAATGATTTGAAAAATTGTGTGTTCAGTAATATTTTTGTCTCAATTTGTCTCAATGAAATTTTTGGACGAATTTTTCGATTTGTTATAGATTGTTCTAGAGTCTGCTGCACACAAATAGATTAGAATGTTAGAATTGTAGTAAACTGTAGTGATCTCTCGGAAGTTTAGGCGTGTAGACTTGAAAGGAATATATTTTATTAATTGTTGATTTATAATAAAGACATGTTGATAAACTCACGAAGGACCTGTTTTCAAGAAGGTATATGTAATTTTTTTTTTACTACGCATACATCGCATTAATTTGAAAATACTTTATACAGTAGAATCCCGATTAATCGAATTCAAACTAGAGATATTCCGTATAATCGACAATCCGGATAATCGATTTCAAAGTCACATTTAACCATAATTAAATTTTAATATTTTTTTTTATTATGTAAAAGGTTTTACATACGTCGTTTAGAAAATACGATATAAAAAAATGCGAGCTATAAAAATGATCCATTACCTTAAATAATACCTATTTGCCCAATTAATACATAATACCATTATATATAAGTATGCTGTAAGAGACCCCTTTATGGGATAAGTCCGCCATTGTATGTTAAATCTTAATTTTTCTTATATAAATTATGTACAATAAAGATTTTACAATACAATACCATTTTAAGTCGATAATTAGAGTCATGAAGTCCGGATAATGGAATATCCGGATAATCGAGATTCTACTAATGTGATAAAAATTTTGTAATTTTAAATTAAATTGAAACAAAAATATACTCAGAAGTGAATTTGCTATTGCGAAAATTAAGGCGCTTGAATATATGTATATACAGGGTGTCCCGTAAGTCATGGATCAAACGGATTCTGGCGATAGGAGGGATCATGCCCTATATAAAAAAAAGAACAAAAATTAATTAAACAGAATGTAATGCTGTATAGTGACTGTAAGTCACGTGAAAACGCTTCGTGTACAACGATGGCGGCCTAGAAACACTTGTCACCAGAGGGCTATACCCTCACTTGAGTAGTGTACTCTTGATTTTATATATAATTCTTGCTCTTTTAAACTCTCTTCATGAAGGAGTTAGTTTATTTGTTTGTTACCTCATAACTCTGTTATTTCTTAACCGAATTAGGTAATTCTTTTTTTTTAATCTGAAAGGATATATTTACACATTGGCCCCATAGGAGTTTTATCAAAATGGACTCAGTATTTTAGTTTTTAAATCAAAATAACTGGTTTTACCACAATTGAAGTAGTTTTTCTTTTGTGGAAGACAATCTTCAATTACTCTATGACACTTATTTAACACAACGCCCATTTCTTTTTTTTTTGATGGATGAAAATGGTATGGTACCCCCGCCTGCGCTAACGGGATACGCTGGCGGAGCACCAGTGAAGGGTGATAGATGAGAATGAAAACAGGCCAGTTAGCCCATCATGATGAATTCATCAGGAATTAACCATGATAGTTTCCAGGGAGAACCGCGAGGAGATCGACCTGGTAGCAATAGGATTCTCAGTCTCCATTACTGACAATCCCTTTTCCCTACAACGCCCATATTAGGTAATATTGAACTTGGTAACTTTAATACAACAAGTATTTGCCTTATATTTTTCTATTGTGGATATTGTACAATGCTATAGTAAACATTGCGGGGAAAGAATTGAATATCTATATACGCTGCTTTTTAGCGCAGTTTTATTTCACAGTGCGATATTACCTTAAGAATTATTGATAAAAAGTATTAAGTGTTTGCTTGGAGCATACAATATTTGTGAATGTTACAGAGGCTGTTAAATTTATTTACAAATTATCAATTAGGTTTCGAAGGAATTTCCTCGTGCGGACGCTCAGGCTGTGGAATGAACTCCCTGTCGAGGTATTCTCTACAGACTACATTATGGGGTTCTTCAAAAAGAGTATATACTAAGGTTTCTTCAAGGTCGAGAACGCACACGTGACAGACATAGGGAGACTTTGGACTTTGACAGAATTTGGATGCCGTTCTCACAGTTGTGTTCCTGAAGGTTTAACATAAAACCTGGTGCATATTTTATCTCGATAAGCAATCGAGTAGCGATCGTTTTAATTGGTTTTCCTGCTTCTGAAATTTATGCATACGAACTAAAAACTGTGGGGAAAAACTAGTTATTGGATCCTTTTTTTTTGTATTTTAAATGATTTTTTAAGTCAGAAAAAAGTGAAAATTCGATCTCAAGAAAGTTCTTGTCTTGTGACTGATAGGTATGATTGCCTTTAAATATTGGATGGACACGGGTTGTTTAAGTGTCCTTAAAAATTTTATTATTAGTCACTTGGTTACAATATATATATATATTGACTCCATAATGGATGTATTAAATATCAGTTATATCGTCATAGTCGTAGAATACTGACGGATCTTTATATGTAATATTTGTCAGATCCGTCAGTATTGTACGACTATGACGATATATAACAACGAAATAAAGAACCTGATCGAAACATAGTAATCCGACTGGTATGGGTGATATCGAAATGCTTAATGGCCGTTTTCCCGCCATTAATGTCTAAAGAAATCCAATGTATAGATATCGTAGCGGTACTAATATTATCTATGCCTACTTGGTAATTAACCTTATATATAATATAGTACCCGACTTTATTATTAAATTAATTAATTTATTATTAATTTAATATAAGATTTTTATCTACAGTATTTTGAGAGGTGCATCTTGTGTTCTTATTTTTTTTTATATTTGACCACAGATTACATATTAACGTAATCTATGGTCAGATATATACCTAATCTGTCAAATATAAAAAAAAACAGATAAACACATAATATGGTATTATAATAGTATAACACTATTATTTATTGTTGTATTACACATCTGTGGTCATTAGTAATCAATTATTGTTTGTGGAATTGAATTAAAAAAAAAAAAAAAAAAAAAAAAAAAAAAAAAAAAAAAAAAAAAAAAATATTTTTTGTAAATCTGTATACTTCGTACAACAGTGAGTAAAGAATGGTTCTTTATTTATGACTGTTTATTGGACAATTATTTTTCTTAAAAATTGTAATACAACAAGTCCAATTAGTGAAATAATTGTAGAAAGCTTTATTAGACGCTGTGATGTTTGTTATTACACGTTTTACTGACTAAATATATTATTAATAAAGTTATTTTGTTTCTCGTTTTATTATGAGCTTTTTTTTTATTTTATATTGATGACACGAAAAATGGCAAACGAGCTGACGGCCCACCTGATAATTGTCGCCTCTAGACGTGTACAGACCCGTGGGTATTGTATTATCTGTGATATTACAGAGTTTACTATTACGCCCATGGTATCCCCACATGCGTTGCCATTCATGAGGTTTAAGGTTATTTTTTTTAATGGGTGGAAATGGAATGGTCACCTCGCCTGCGCTATCGGTATACACCGACGTGGCACCAGTGAAAGATGATAGGTGAGAATGAATGCTGGTCATTTGGCCCACCATGATGAATTGGATAAGAATTAACCATGATGGTTTCTAGTTGGAA